AGTAAATTGTTTTTACGCGGAGCGATTAAGTCCTTTTTAACTTTAGAAGGGCGTCCTACCGAATTAGCACTTTTTTTCGCTTATTCGATGTCGGGGTTGTTGAAGATGCATTAGGTTCTTTATTCTCTTCCATTTCTGAGATACCATTTTTTTAAGCAAAGCTTCAATTTCATTTGACGAAACCAGAACATTGTCAACGAAAACTTTCTCGCCTTTTAATGCAGCCTTATATCCTGCGTCCTTGATGCTATGTACCGTAGTTAATAGACGGCGACGAGTTTGGTGATCTTCCTGAGAACGATCATTTGAAATAATGAGATTTAATTTCTTAAGCTCTTCGACATTTGTGAAGACGACCTTGACCCATCTGGTAGCGATGAATTTAATCATTACAGGGCGGCTACCTACATTTTTTCCTAAGCGGAAAATGTCATCCAGAGCAACGTCTGGAATTTGGAGACCCACGCTGTTGAACACATCAGTAACTGCATTAAAAAGGTTTCTGTTTATTTCCTCCGAGTCCTCCAGCATAAACAAAATTATGTTTTTAGCAAGATTAGAATTTTCCGCAATTGACAATCTTTTATCTGTAGAAGTCACTCTGGTTTTAAGGTTGTTCAGTTGATAGCCCATAGACTCAAGCTTATTTGTATTTGATCGAATCTCATTACGCAACTCATTGTTCGATTCTGTAAGCCTATCCATCGATGAAAACAAATTATTCCATCTCTGTTTCTCAAGAACAGAAGTATTAACGTGTGTCATCATTTATTTTATAGCCTGTCACTTTTCTCTCAATACAAATTATTTTATTTTATTATAATTCAATAATAACTGTAATTAGATTTATTGAAAAAGGGAAAAGTTCTCAATTTAAGTGACAAGTTATAAAGGCGATCTTTAATGATTTGAGCGCCTGGCTGCCTTTATTCAATTTAAGTCTAAAATCTAGCCATATTTATTATCCTTATTTAGAATTTTATCATTACCCGACCGGAGGTGAATTCGTAAGGTGACTTTCTTTGTTAATTAATAAGAAATAAAACACTTTATTAACAACACAAATAATCACATTTATTCAGAATAAAGAAAGAAAATAACATAAATTGTCTCTTTAAAGAAATTAATAAGGCCAAGTCCGTTACTAGGTCTGAGAGCAAATTCAATTTTATTATCAATTTAATAAATTATTGACGTAAACCAAAATTCTGACTCACCGCCATTATTAATAATGTTGATTGTCCTTTATTTATTTCCAATTATTTATGGACCTTTTGCTTATTTATAATTTCTGCTTTCTTTCAATTATTTTAATACTCTTATAATTTTCTCTTTAATTTTGAGATCCGTCCACCGTGACGTTACAGATGTGAAGGCCGAGGGGCGTCGATCGCCCGTCGGCCTAACCTCGCTGGATACATTATTTCAGTAGGGCACAACCCTGTCGATAAAGTGCTATTCTAATTTATTAGACTGATTGACGGGTTGCGGTCCTACCGGCGCTAACTATCTTATGTTTAGTGAGACAACAACTAATTTCGGACTGGCCGTTATTGAGACTCCGGAGTCATGTATAGGTTAACAATTTAAATACAATAATTACTATGAAGTAATATTTATTATAAAGCCGAAATAATTTTCGGCTCTTTATGCTTTTGTTTCTTGTCCCTTGACTTAAGACGCCCTCAAGTTGTGCCTCTGGTTCTTCTCACTCCGGAACTGAGAACCAAGTGAATTTGTTATAGTCTCACGTCTTTGAAAGGCAGCGTCCAGCGAGCTTAAAATAAAATAAACAAAAAAGAAGGCAGACTACTTTCTTTAATTCTCGATATAGGCAAGATATGCTCTCAGACTCATTACAGTTGAACTATCAAGATTCACTTTATTCTTATAATTTGAGATTTGTTCTGTGGCATAATTATGCTATTTTACCCTTTTGGTTTTTACAATTTATAATAAAAAAGGGGCCTCACATCCACATCATCACGGTCGAGGAATCTAAAGAATGTCAGAATTGACATGGTTACAATTTATATATAAATCTCTCCCTATTATATAAAAACATTTCGCCGCCGTCGCAGAGTCAGGATTTCTAAGGACCTCTTATAGTAGGGGGCACATAGTCAAGGTTGGCCCACTGCCATGGTAGGTCCATCGTCAAAAACAAGTTACAATTGACCTAAATGCAGGTCAATTTTAATGGCAGTTTTAACCTAGAGGTCAAAAATTGACAAACTAATTCCTCTGCCCTCAAAACTTAGGTCAACTTTAAGGGCAGTTTTAACCTACAGGTAAAAAATTGACAAACTAATCCCTCTGCCCTTAAAATTTAGGTCAATTTGAAGGGCAGTTTTAACCTACAGGTAAAAAATTGACAAACAATTCCCTCTGCCCTCAAAATGTAGGTCAATTTTAAGGGCAGATTCAACCTACAGGTAAAAAATTGACAAACTAACCCCTCTCTGCCCTCAAAATTTAAGTCAATTTTAAGGGTAGTTTTGACTTAGAAGTCAAACATTGACAAACTTATCGCTCTGTCCTCAAAATTTAGGCCAATTTTAAGGGCAGTTTTGACCTAAGCGTTAAAAATTGACAAACAATTACCTCTGCCCATAAAATATATGTCAAATTTAAGGGAAGTTTTAAATTACAGGTCAAAAATTTACAAACAATTCCCTCTACCCTCAAAATTGTCGAAAAAACTCCCTCTGACCTGACCTTCACTCAAAATTTGGATCAAATTTTACATATTTTTTAACCTACACATCAAAAAAGCAAATTAGGATACTTCAAGAGGTCGTTCCCTTATATTAAAATTTGACGAAATTTTCGACCTTTAAAAAAAAGGTTAAAAGGTTAAAAGAAGTTTCACCTAAATTTTAATATTAAGTTTCAAGCAATAAAAGATGTTATAAATTAACATCTATTTTTAAAAATTCTATTTTTTTTATTGTTTATACTCCTGCCCTATTGGCCTTACGCACTTCGACAAGAGTCCCCGAGAAATACTTTTTTGGATTAAGCATAACCATTCTACTTTAGAAATTTTTCTATATATTAACCTAATTTTTGCGTCTACAGCCGACTTTATTAGGAGTCCTCGCATTACGCCTGGACCACCCGTCAATGGGTTTTCTCGCCAGAGAAGAGGGAAACTGTAGAAAACCTCTCTGAGTACAACCGGTTTATCGACAGTCGAGTTCTAATGGTGTGTACCGGACAATAATCGACGGTGCACATCATTATACCTCGACGTCAAACCTCCCGCTCAGATTGTCTCACGTGCCGGAAAAATACCAAGCCAAGTGGGCGCGAACCAAGGATACTTATACCCTTGGTCCTTAAACGACCGCCAACGCCAGGCATCTATCCGACTGAGCTAATCTGTAGGTTAAAAAATTCTATTAAAATTAATTTTCTGTCCTCAAAATTTAGGTTAATTTTAAATGGCAGTTTTTCCTACAAGTTAAAATTTGACGCTAATCTCCCTCTGATCTGACATTCTCTCAAAGCTTAGGTCAATTTTAAGGGCAGTTTTGACCAACACGTCAAAAATTGACAAGAAAATTCCCTCTGACCTACTGTTCCCTCAAAATTTTTTAAGTCAGTTTTGACCTACGGGTAAAAATGAGGCCCACAAGCGTCTATTACATTACGTCGTAATCTTTAAGTAATTTGCCATTTTCCTTTACTTACAGGTCATAAATGGCTAAATAATGGCCCCTACATTACGTCAACATTTATGTCAGAATTAACGTATTTTTTAAACTACAAGTAAAAAGGGGCCCTATAATACCTTTGACACTGAGAAAAAAGAATGAACAAATTTACTATGAGGAGTGTCAAACTTGAAAAAGTTAAAACTATAACCATATCCGTAAAGTAGAATTCTCTATTAGTGCTCTTCTTTAATATCTCCTGTTATAATTTATTCTAACTTATTACTATGCCTTTATATTAAGAGAACATGATTTGAAAAATTAAAATAAATATAAAAAATAGTTAGCGGGTTTGCGCGCGAAGCTCCCCTAGTGATTCAAAGACGATCAAAACAGATAGAGTTTGGAACAGAATTTAGACGCACAGCGTGAAATAGTATAATATTAAGCAACTAGGGTATAAAAGGCAGCCACTTGCTTACGATCGAGGGCGCCGTAGGCGCCCTGAGACCGGAACGACTGTCACAAAAATCATCGTAAACAAATTGGCTGCCTTTATTCCCATGTTACTTACGATATTTTTTATTCCTAAAGCATAAAAGTGGCGATTTCAGATAGCAGACGACAGGGAGTAAAAGTCATTCACTTGTTCTACTTATATGAAAATGGCGGCCAATTTCTTCCTTGGGCAAAAATAACGCATGGGATCAACTGTTATTTTTGCACATGGGAGAAAATAAACGCTATTTTCATATGGTCGAACAAGTGACTGAGTGACTTTACTCTCTGTCGTCAGATATCTAAAAGCGCCATTTTTGTGCATGTGGGATAAAAAAATTTTTTCTTTACTTCTCTTAAACACTGCACCTTCTTTATTTCACTCAGCAAAACAAAAATGTTAGCACACCATAAGAGGGAACTGCATAATAAAATTGTCAAAAAAAGAGAAAAAAACTAATATCACTATAAAAATTTCAAAACTGACAGATTAATAATACATCAAATAAATTTTCAATAACAACCCAGTGGGCACAAAGACAAAAAACGTTCTTTAAACGTCTGTAGAACGTTTAATGTCTGCCAATTTATGTTTTAAGAACGTCCGACTGTTCCAAAAATGTTTCGGAACGTTCGGATGTTCTTTGAACGTAAATTGTCAGACATTAAACGTTCTACAGACGTTTAAAGAACGTTTTTTGTCTTTGTGCCCACTGGGAAGAGCTCACGAAATAACGACATCACTCGACCAAAGCTCGAGAGAGGTTCAACATAAACAATATGTACTGCTTTTTACTTAATATGCAAATAAAGTGTGCACTATATAAATTTTATACATTTCAGGAAAAATGCAGAATTAGAATCATTACAAATAAACATTTTACTACCCAAAATATATGAAACAAGTGTTAAGGCAGCAAAAGATAGTGACAAAGTAAAATGTAATATAACAAGGGTTATCGGAAGTATTTTGTATTTGAGTTTTAATTGTCAAGCATTACGTGACACGTCGGAAGGTTTAGAATCCCTAATTGAGTGTGCAACTCTTAGTAATGACCAAAAGGTAATAGTATTTAACGTATGTTTTTTATTGATAAATGTTTTAAACACATTTAATAAATAGGTGATGTTATTTTGTCATTTTGAGTAATTAACAGTTTTGCAAATTGAATATTTTCCAGGTTAAGTGGAATGCATGTCGTGCTCTAGGGCTGGTCATGAGTCGACAACCAGATTCTATCCTTTCTAATTCCTGGCAGTTAAGTATAATTAAAATGAATTCTTCTCTAGGTTATGATTATTTATGTGATACTTAAAATAGTGTTACATATTTTTTAATAGTATATCTTGATGAATACTGTCTGTAATATTTGTTGTCCTATTATTTAACCCGTTAATGCCCATGAACAAACTAATTCCGTAAAACGAATCAATAAATTCTTTGATAGCTTTAAGGCTTGTAGCTTACTGTATACTGCAATAATCTGGGGCCTTAGATATATGAAACAATTAGAGAAAAAAATTATTACAGAAAGGGTCCTCAACCTCCCTCAAAACACCCCTAATTATGCGGATCATTCAAAAAATTTTAAATGATTCTGAATTGGTTGGAAATTACTGAAAATTTTCAAAATTTTTTTAGTTAATAAAGATTTAGCAAGACTCAAATCTCTAAAACTCTATTCAAAACTATCTCCAACTGTATTTGAAATCGAGACGGCCTCTTCTGATACCCAAAATCTTTGCTCAGGTCAAATTACTGAATACTTTTAAAACTAGAATTAAATTAAAAAATAAAGAGTACTACTACTCGAGCCATTATAAGGTCCCGTACAGCACATGATAATCTATGGATATCCAAATAACGTCCAGTTAGATCTATAGATATCTGGAATATCTTATGGATATTTCAACATATATCCTAAAAGAAGGGACTTTTTATATCCTGAGAATGTCTGGGGGATATTTCTGAATATTTGTTGGATGTCCTGTGGATATCTGTGGGATGTGGCACTTAATGGCCCAGTAACATCTCTAAGATATCTTTGGATATTAAAGGTTAAATCACTTACAACTTTTTTCAATAAATTAACCTCGAAAAGTTTTCAAAACAGTTTAAGATTGGAAAACTTGAAAATAATGAGAGTGACAACGTGAGTTTGACAGCTCTGTGTTTGCAGACGTCTAATTTAAAAGAACTGCCACATGAAATCAATGGAACTATTCGTGTTAATAGTGAAATTCTGTCATTTAAGTGTTCCTGCAAGGCAGGTTTATCGGAAAAGTGTAAACACATAATTGCTGTTCTCTTATATTGTTCAAAGTAAGTTCTAACCTAAAATTTACCTAGTTGTTTACATTACAAAAATTATATTTAATTTATATATATAATACATGTAAAAATATTTATTTTGCATATTATTATAGATTTATTATTATTGATTAACCTAATTTTATCTTTAGATACGATTTCGAAACTTTCGAGACACTTTCATGTACAGATCAACCGTGCGCGTGGAAAAAAGTTTTACACAAACAAGCTTTGACTCAATATGAATTTAAACCTTTGGATGAACACGAATGTTTAAGACCACCGTTAAAAAAATATATTCAGGATGAATTTAAAGTAATCTCTCTTTATGAAAAAATATTTCAAGAGCTTCCACATTCTGCCATTACAAAAAGAAAAATTGGGAGACACAGTCCCGTAGAATTAAAAATTGCAACTGAAGGACAACTGACAAATTTAGAGAAAACTTTAATTGGCAAAATCTTTAATCAAGAAGAAAGCTTAGTAATGAAGAAAATTTCTGAAATCAAAGTTGATAAGTTAGAATCGTGTTGTGAAAATACTTTGATTTCATTGAGTGGTGATTGTCAAACTATTTGCGAAAAGACGAAAGTATTTTATGCTAATTGGCATGAAGAACGAAGATTTCAAGTTACTGGCTCAACGTGTTATGCTTTTTACACGTACACAGAAAATAAAAATCCCAATTGGGAAAAAAGTGTAGTAACCACATTAATCCGAAGAATTTCAAAACTGAATATACAGAATACGGGAAAGTTATGGAAAAGGTAGCTCGTGATTTATTTGTAAAAAAATACAACGAAGTCGTTGTTGAAACAGGTTTAATTGTTTCAAAACTGAATCCCTGGCTGGCTTATTCACCTGATGGGATTATTTGCAAAGATGGAAAGCCTGATAAATTACTAGAAATAAAATGTCTTAAAAATGGAAAATCCATGACAGCCGAAAGCGTCGCTGAAAAGGAAATCGGTAAATGTTTGGTATGAAATAAATTTGGTAAAATGGAATTAAAACAGAAGCATAAATATTATGGCCAAGTACAACACGGAATGGCAATTCTTAAATTGAAAAACGCTGCTTTTGTATTATATGCTGACTTTGATAAAAGCTTATATATAGTAAATGTAAAATTCGACGAGACTTTTGTAATAAAAATGCTTAAGGCTTTAAAAAACATGTATTACAAATTCATGTTGCATAAAATATGTTTGGCCATTAATAATAATGAAAATGAACAAAATCTGGACAAACTTTCTTAAAGTTATAGTCGATTAAGTATCGAAATTCCAGATAAGAAAATAATATTTTCGTTATATACAATAATATATTACATTTACTATTTTACTTAAAATATTTTAAAAAAGTTATTTGATTTAAAAACTGAAAGTGATATTAGAAAATAAAAATGTGATTTTACTTAAAATATTTTAAAAAAGTTATTTGATTTAAAAACTGAAAGTGATATTAGAAAATAAAAATGTGATTTTACTTAAAATATTTTAAAAAAGTTATTTGATTTAAAAACTGAAAGTGATATTAAAAAATAAAAATGTGATATATCTAATATAACAAAACTATAATCAAAATAGCTAATTAAGGAAATTGTGATATTTCTTGTGAGGAAAATAAATGCTAGTTATTTATAATAAAATTGATGGTTTTTATTCTTATCACACTAATTTTTAGGAATGGGAGGGTCTTTTCATGAACTTGTCATCTTTCAAAATCGGGTCACAAAGATTAACAGTGCTACACACAACTAAAAATATTAGATCAACGTATGGGACAAGTTTCACAGGCATTGTATCACCTACAAGTTTAAAAGTTTTAATTCTTTGATTAGAGCGTTCTACGTGGACTCTTGCTTTGGTGATTTTTGCAGTCATCAGCGATTCCGCTTGCGATAATTGTTTTTTATCAGTCAAAAATGGTGGTCTAATTAATTTCCATTTATTTTTAGCACAAACTTCATCGATTCCAAAACCTTTGTCAACCATTATAGCGTCTCCAGGCTCTAAAAGTTTTATTATATTGCTTTTTTCGAAAATCTTTTGGTCTGATGTTCTGCCACCCCAAGCTTTACTTATATATGTTATACTTCCATCAGGTGCCACGCCAGTCATTATTTTTGCAGTTCGTGCTTTTTTGTAATTAGAATAAGTTATAATTTGACAACATAAATTTTTCGGTTCTTGAATGAAAATCTCAGTGCAGTCAATAACAACTCTCACATCCTCAAATCCTTCAAAGCAAGAAGGCATATTTTTTAATATTTCCTTTTTTGATGGCCATGTTACTGCAACCTTCATTGTTTCACTCAACATATTCAAAGTTTCAAGAAATATTCACCGACAATGAGTATTTGTGTAGCATTGAAAAAGCAGAGCGAGAAAGTTGTAAGATAAATTCTGTTTTAGTTTTACATACGTCATAATGATTATGTCATGTAAACTCATTTTTGTATTTTGATGTTCTGTCGTGTTGCCGAAAGCTATTTGAACCATTTCTACAATACAATTTAAAACTTTAAATGAATTTATACCAGTAGCAGTACTTAAATCTCTCTCATTTTTAATAATATTTTTAAATTTAAAAATAAAGTCACCACTTGTAACTTGAACTCCAATCTCTTTTGTGATTTGTGATTCTGAAAAAACATGATTATCACAAGTCGAAGTTTCTGTAGATTGTTGGATCAAATCAATAATTCCATTTTGCCCTTGTGCAAGTTCGCCTTCTTCTGTAATTGAAACATTTTCATGAATAAAGTGCTCATTGACGACAGGAGCACTATCCCAAACACTTGTGGAAATAAGCTTTTCTTTTCTTTGAAGTTGCCTATTTAATCGACCATCAGATGATTTAAATTCTCCTGACTTCCTTGGTAAGTGCTGAGATGGAACTGCGGTTTTCTTCAAACGCTTTTTTTCGAAAATGCATCTATAAACGAAATAAATAATACAGAAAATTGATTAAAATGCGTAAGTTCTCTTTAAAAATAAAATGCAATACAAAGAAAATACAAAATATTTTAATTTAGATTGATTTTTCATTTCAATTATTTATATTTTAAATTGTTTTCGAATATTTCACTTTGATTTATATACTCTCTAAAATTTCAAAATTTTATTTTTTATTTCATAACCTCACTTAAATTTACAATTCAAAATTTTTATTTATGTTATATTTTTTCCTCATATATTAAAATTTATTTATAAATTTCAATTTGAAAATAAAAAAACATGATGTAAATATTGTTTACTATAGGTTAGGTTAGACCAAAACAATTTTATTCTCTAAATAAATGTACTCACCAGGCAAAATATAATCTTCCTTTTTAAAGTGGAGTGAGCACACTCCTTTCTTGGTTGTAACTTTATTTAATTTCACTGCAATTTTCCAAGCCTTTAATTTATCAACTTTTTCCACTTTTCCAAAAAAATTTGTAACCTCTACCACGCAAAAATTCGGTTTTGGAAATCTATGTAGAGATACTAATAAGTCTTTCTTGGCATTACTCTTGCACCCAGGAACTGAACAATTATCCCGATAAGAAGTTTCAACACGATTTGCTAACTTTACACCTTCCATTTTTCGAAAATTATATGTATTTACATTTGACACTGCAAACTTTGATAGAATCGGGGTATTTAAATAGTTTGATTTTCCGCCACCAGTTGGCGACCGATTTATGTCAATTCCCACGGCGTTCATTTTTCGAAAGAACTGGACTGAGTACTAGTTGTTCAATATTCGCTGTTAGAATCTTAGTTTTGTTTTAAAATTGGTCATCTGACAACCATGTAGAATAAATTTTAATTCTGAATTAGCAACGTCGCGACGCAGCGACGCTATGCCTGAGGATATTTTGACACCTTGATAACGTCAAATATCACATCATGAGATGTCTTTAACTAAGAGATGCTTATAAGAAAATAATAATTAGAG